AAAGTTTTCGGAAAACCACCAAATGCAAAATAAATACAATTTGTCATTTTTAAATTGTTGAGATGAACTATAAATTTTAAAAGTACTTATGTATTAAAAAATAAAAATTTTAATGATTATTTTGATATATAAAACTTACTAGCAGACGCTTTTGCTCTCGCTTTCGAAGGTTCTCCTACAGGCACATTGGGTAATTCGGGCGATGGAGTAGCCACACCAAGTAGTTCTTTATCTAACTCTTCTTGCTCTAATTCTTCCAATTCTTTAAGAAGTTCATCCTCATCGACATCTTGTCCAAATGCAACAGGATTTGAAATTGCATCTGAAATTTCTCTGGCAACATCTTGTTGTTCAGCTATATCATCCATCATGTCGTGAACTTGATCGACATCCCTAAAAAGCACAAAGTTTTTAAAATTAAAAATATATTTTTATATAAGTTTATTTATATATATATATAAAAATTTATAATACTTACATGTGTTTGTGTGCTGCTTTCAAAGCATCAGCTGCATTTTTCATAGTTGTAAGAACAGCTGTATTCGTATTGGCTCCTTCCAAGGCCTCTCTCTGCATTTCAATAGTTGACAGGGTGCCATCGATTTGCTGAAGTTGTTTTTCATACCTCTTTTTTCTTTTTAATGCTTGTAAAGCAGCTATTTATTAAAAATAAAAAAATACTAAATGTAATTGTTAGTCAATATACAGATAATCTAGTTCTAATGAAAAAGCATTGATATGGTGAATGTCTTGAATGTCTATCAAGGAAATAAGTGGTTCAATATATTTAATTAATATAAAATGATGATTATTAAAAGTGATGAAATGAAAAATAAAAAAAAAATTGTCAAGACCAAAAACAATAAATTTATTTCTAAATGGTCATATATTAAAAATATTCAATTAAAAAACCGAATTTTGAGGAAATTTTTATAAAATGACGTAGTGAAAAATTAGGAACTGCATTCATGGTCAAATTTTTGGGTTTGCTTTCGGGTAAAATTTCACATAATTATTGTTAACAGGAGTCGAGATCAAATACATACCTCTCTTATTTTTAACACCATTTGCTCTCGCTATTTGCAATTCTTGTTCTATTTTAGATTCTAAAAATTCTTGTTTTTTTATTAACATATCTTCAGTTTCCCTAAGTTTCTGAATTGCTTCTCCAGTGGTTGGCGCTTTATCGCCTTTTTTACCACCGAACATTCTTCCGAAAAAACTCATTTTGAACCTATTATAGTTTTTTTCAATAATAATAATAATAATAAAAAGAATTATATAAAATTCTAATAAAAAAAAAAGCCTGTAATTAAAAAGCACCAAAATGTAATAGGAAATTAATCACTGACGTCTCATTCCGTTCACAGTGAATCCAATATAACCAACATAACAAAAATAAATGCGTCACAAGTATTTAAATTATTTATTATGGGTAAAATTATAACGACTTTTTGTGATTAAATAATATTTACCCATTGATAAATAATTGGTAAAAAAAAAAAAAAAAAAAAAATGAATCTAGATTTAGGGTCTCTTAATGAAAATCAAATTTTAGAAAAACATTCTTTTAATTTGAAATCCTACAAAGAAGATGGGTAAAAGTTTTTTTGTTGTTGTTGTTGTTTTTAAATTTAAATTAAAACAGAGTTCATTTAAAGGTAATTGTTGTTTTAAAGGTTACTTTTACAAACTCAGGATTTTGATGAAGTTCTTTGTGGTGAAATTATAAAAAATAAATTTATACATACCTGTTTTAATAATACGGAGTCGTGTGTATGCGTTGCAGATAGTAATGGAAATTTATTTGTTATAAATCTGAAAATAAAAAAGTAATTTTAAATTACTAGTAAAAATTGTATAAAATTACAGGCAAATTATTATGATTGGTTATATTTTTATTTCTGTTACAATTATTGTAGGTATTGGCGGTTACAAAATATTGGGTTAGTCACATTTATTTCTTTTTCACCTTTGAAAGAATTGGAATTATTAGTCAGCTTAAACACAGCATCTATAAAATTATGTAATATTGGTATGTTTTTTACTAATGAAAATTTTTTTTTTTTTTTTTTAATTTTTAATCTAGGCCTTTTTTCGGTTAACGAATCAATTCTCAATCATAACATTTTTAGAATCAAAAATAATACATTACCATTTTTTAAATTTACAGAAACTGGTTTTATTACTGGTTCTCTTCCTGGTCATACTGCTCCTGCTACAGATGTCTCATATACTGATGATGGATTTTACTGTCTTACATTTAACAATTTAGAAGCCATAGTATGGAACATGTCGACATATGATCAAATTCACGTCTTATCCTTAAAGGTCGATTGTTTTATAAAAAAGGTAACTTTTATTATAACTTTTTCTGAAAAAAAAAAAAAGAAAATTAGTACATTTTATTAGTTAAATTAATAAGTTAAATAAAACCTTATTGAAATTAAGGTTCTTTTTATACCGATTACAAATTACATACTTGCCTGCTTTGAAGATGAAACTATAAATGTATGGCAGTTTGGAACTTTTGAATGCATCAAACAAATTATTCCTGAAACATCAAAAACTCAGTACATAAAAACAATTGCTATATCTAAAAATGGAAAAATAATGGTTATCGGAGGTCATACAGGTTATTTAGTTATTTATTGTTTGGAAACTTGGGTTGTCAAAAAAATTATTGAATTTCCTGAAAGTATATCAGGCGCAAAACAGCTTGAATTCGTTCCTCAAGTTTTCGATGGTGGATCTAACGATATTTTAGCCATATTGACTACTTCTTTGGAATTGTATTTTTTTAATATCCAAAATTCAAAATTTCTAATTGGAATGCATAAAACTTTCGGATTAACAGGTTTTTATACAATGTTTTTTTTTTTAAATGTAGCTTAATTTATTGTACAGCTTATTTATTTCACCGATAATTAATTTTTTTTTATAGAAAAAATTACAATAAGTTCTACGGGAAAATATTTTGCTTCTGTTTTGAATGGTGGAAAAATAAATATTTATTTAACTGAAGTTGCTATTACAAAAAAAGATTGTTTAAAAAAAAATTTGAATGTTTTCACTGAAAAAACTGGTAGTGAAATTAGTGAATCACAAAATTCATTTAACCAAATGAGAAAAACTCAAAAATATACTCAGTCTCTAAATGATGTGAGAAGTGAAGTAAGAACATAAATTTATTTTTGTGCATATTTCGATAAGTTTGGTTATATTGAATTTTATTATTATTTACAGCTAAAAAAAGTACTTAGTCTTAAAAAACTTCATCCTATATTGAAACAATTTGGAGAATTTCCAGAATTCTATAGAACTCTAATTTGGAAGACTATTTTACAATTACCTGAAAACCAAGATGCATTTTTAAGTTTGGCAACAAAAACATGTCATCCATCTTATACTAATTTAGAAGCAAAATATCCTTTGCATAATAAGTCTTTGTGTAACTCGTTGAAAAAGTACGATAACAAAAATAATTTTGACAAATTTTTTTTTTTAAAATTTTTACAAACTTTCATTATAATATAAATTATGCATTTTCAGATTGCTTTCAAGTCTATCATATTGGTGTCCACTTTTTGGGGAAGTTGATTTTTTACCGGAATTTATTTTTCCATTTGTTAAATTATTTCATACTGATCTTGTAGGTTGTTTTGAGACGGTTGCTACAATTATAGGTAAAATTACAAAACAATTTATTAAAACGAGAACAGTTGAGTAATAATTAAGGGATGCATTATTTTCAGTTAATTGGTGTCAAAATTGGTTTGAATTTTATCCATTTCCTCCGGTCAACATGCTTTCTACATTAGAAAATATACTCGGCCATCACGAACCTGATTTATTGGAATTTTATTTAAAAAACGATATAACAATTAACGTATTTGCATGTTCAATTTTTCATTCGGCTTTTTCTGAAGTTGGTATAATTTTATTTATTTGATTTAGTCATAATAAGCCGTGTAAACAATTTTTTTATTCAATTTAGGTATTGTCAAAAACAGATTGGCTAAGACTTTGGGATCACATTTTGTCTAACGAACCATCATTTTTATTTATGGCCATCATTGCATACAATATAAATTGTCGAAATGCCATAAAATGTATAAAAAACCGAAATGACATTGAGGTAACATTATCAAGAAAAAAGGATTCAGAAAGAAGGTGAAGTAAATTAAACAGACATTTTTGTTTTTTTATACAGAAATTTTTCAGAAGTCCAAATCCGATAGATATAACTAAATTAATTTCGAGAACGTATATTTTATTAAAAGAAACCCCCGATGAAATTCACTGTCGACATTTTTTTACTTCTTATCAACCTCTTAGCTCCGGAGGAACTTATGTATCTTTTTTTGCCTATCCAAAATTGATTGATTCAAATGTAACGAGAATGTTAACATTACGTAAAGAAGAAGAAGAAATAATTGCAGAACAAATGAGAGCTTTAGACATGAAAAAAAAACTAGATAAAGAACTTTTGTTGAGTAATAAGGAGGAAGAACATGAAAAAATTTACGAAGGTTTAATTAAAATTTATTTAAGAAAAACAAAATTTTTTTTTTAATTTTAATCGTTGAGTAAAACAATTTTATATTATAGAACTTGAGGAAAGAATAAAAAGTATTGTCGATGAAGAAGAAGATAGAATCTTAGCTCAAAGGCAAAAACTTGAAGATTTAAAACAAGAACTTCGATTGAAAGAATTACAATTATTGGAAGGAACAAGGAATAAAGTTTTAAAAAAAAAAGCTCAAAAAAAAAGAGTGGAATTGGATCGTTTGATTAAAGATATATCGAAAAAAGTAAACAAATTTTTTTCGTTGAGAATTTTCAAAAGTTTTGTACAAATTTAATGCAATTTTTTTTTTTTTTTCGTTCGCATAGAAAGCTTTAGAAAAAACCGATGTTGAATTATTAGAAGATGAAAAAAGAAAACATTATACAAAAATATTAAAAAAAATGTGTCAACTTGAATTAGAATTAGGTTTGTCGGATAGTGAGAAAAGCCATTTTGAAAATCAACCGTTACGAAAAAACGATTCGAAAGAGAATCAGTGTCACGTAAGCATCTCGATTAAATTTTACTTCAATTTTAAAAACCTTAAAAATATTTTTTAAAAAAATTATTTAATTTCAGAACTCTTGTGATCCTATTAAAAATAATAATAAATTAATCAATTCGAATAAATTACCTTTGAATACGAATTCGTTGAACGATGTAAAAACGAACATCACTGAAAAAGGGATTTCAAATCATTCTTACGAACCTGACGCAAAAGAGCAAACATTCAAAAATGAGCGCGAAATATTATTGTCGCAAAATGTTAAAGAAATTTCGAAAAAATCAAAAGACAAAATTCCGTTGGTTTCATTTCAAAATTTCGGAACGAATCGGAAAAAACGGAAAAAAGTGAAAAAAAACGACGCGATTAATCAAAACGAATCGAATTTTCCAGGAAGTAAAGTTATAGGAAGTGATGTACAAAAATCTCGAATAAAATCAAATTTTACCTCAAGAGTTAGTAACAAACAAAATGAGGAAAATTCAATATCTGAAAATTCATTAAACACTTTAGATGAAAATATAAAAATGAAAATTAATCAAGATGAGAGAATTTCAAAAGATAATAATAATAATAATAAAATGTTCACCTGTCAATGCTCGCAAAAATTATTGGAAGAATCGAGCAAAAAAAAAAAAAAAAAAAAAAATTTATTCGAAGGTAAATAATATATATAAATGAAAGCTTTCAAAAGATTAGATAAAAGTGACCAGATAATAAAATTAAAAAAATTGACATATCGTGAGATAATATTGTTTAAATTTTAGGTTATTCGTTTAAAAGTGATAGCGAAAATGAAATATTTAAAACAGTGTTGAGTATCAGAAGGCAGCTACTGAAAAATGGAGGAACAATTCAACAACTTAAGTAAACAGTAATTTATTATCTAGTGCAGTATCTAATGTAATACATGTATTTATACTCGTTGAATTATTAAATTTTTTACAATTATCAAACACATTAAATTTTAATGTCCGTTTGTAAAAAATACATTCAATATATATGAGTAATACTTTGTTTTATAATTTAATAAAAGAATGTACTGGACATGGCACTTTGCTTTTACCATTAAATTCTTCTAATTCGATAATAACTACACAATGATAAACATTGGCACCTAAATTTTTTATAAGCATACATCCAGCTTCAAGAGTTGCTGAAATAAAAGTTTGTAAATTAAATTTTTTGCAATTATGAAAAAAAAAAAATTTTATAAAAGTTAAAAAAAACTCACATCCAGTTGCTAGTAAATCATCCACAATTAAAACATTTGAACCTGGAGGTATGCTATTTTTTTGAATTTCTAAAGTTGCCTTTAATTAAAAAAGTTAATTAACTTATAATATTTTTAAAAAAATTAAAATTTTTTATTTTATTTTGAACTTACTGAACCATATTCCATGTCAAATGATAATTCAATGACCTCGCCAGGTAGTTTACCCTTTTTACGAATAGGTATAAAGGGGACTTGCAATTGTAATGCAATCAAAGGACCGAAAAGAAAACCTCTCGATTTTATAGCACAAACAGCTTGAACTTTTGAAACATATTTACTGGAATGTTCTTTAAGTAAATCACATAAATCCTGAATCCCTTGTGGGTTGTTCATAACAGAAAAAATATCACTAAAAAAATTAATGATAGATAAAATTTTAAACTTTTTATAAAAAAAAAAAATTTTTTAAGGAAAAAAATTTATTTTTTACAATAAAAATTAAGTTGCAAAAAAAAAAAAAAAAAAAAAAAAAAGAAATTATCTAGAAAAATAAAGATTCAATAAAAGTAATTAAAAGTAATCTTTCAACTTTAATGCAATAAATTTGATAAAATTATTAAATAAAAATTTTATTGTTGGTGAATGGAAAGCAATTTTATTTACAAATTTAATATCGAATTAATTGCCAATTAATATCAAACTGTTCTTAATTTTTTTTTTTTAAAGCTTTCAACTATCGTAATCACTGAATAAAATTTTTTTTTTTAATAGTTAATACATGTTATAAGTGAAAATGTTTTTTTTGTACTTATATTAATAGGTAAATATATATAATTAATATTAAATAAATATAAATATACCGAAAAACAACTCCAGGTTTTGGAAAATCTTGATAACTTTTTAAACATTGTTTAACAAATTCAACTTTAGCCACAGTACTTTTCATTTTATATTATATAGGATACCCCTCAACTTTGAAGAAACGTTATCAACTAATTCTTGACAGAACTGTTGTCGCGAAGTGGTAAATGTAGTTTGACAAACCACAAATAGAGGCAGCACATAATCACGTGAATCGTTATGGTAGAATTTTAAACAGAATTGTATTTTGCTTAAAATTCTATATATTCAGGTTTAGGTGCTTAATATTTTGTCTCTGTTAAAATCATTTCGGTAAGATTTACTTTTATTTTTTATTATTTTAATTTTAAAAACACTTTTCTATTACTTTTTTTTTTTTTTTTTTTGTTTTTAAATAAGAGCCTTCACCTACTTTGCTGATTGTATTTTGCTTAACTGAAATTTATAATAAATAGATTTTGATGTTTTAATTAAATAAATCAAATCTGTGATTGGAATAACGATTTCTTTCATTTTTTATAAATTTTACTTGTAAATCATTTAAATATTGTAAAATAAGCTTTGATTTTCCAGGGTATAAATGATACCCTACAGTAGAGATTTTTATGTACCTGTCAGGTTACTCTTCATTTTTTTTTTTGTTTCTTTTTTAGTTAAGCTCTTATTTAAATAATATACTTCATCAAAATGTATTATCAATGCAAACTTAAACCTTAATTACAATTATTGATTTTAGGGTAAAATATTTTATATTATAATTTAAGATTTTGATCCTTAGGTGGCCATGACAGAATATTGGTTAATATCTGCTCCAGGAGAAAAAACATGTCAGCAAACATGGGAAACAATGAATAATTTGACGAATAAACAGAATAACCTGTCAGTCAATTACAAGTTTCATATTCCAGATTTAAAGGTGTGAGACAATATAAAATTAATATTGAAATTTTTTATAATCGGCAAATTAAAAAAAAACTTTTTAATTTGCCGATTATATTATCGGCAGTATTTATTTTATAATTAGATAGTTCAATAACTTTGGATTATCCTTTTTCGAAAATTTCGAAATGAAATAATTTTTTAATTTTTGAGGTTGGAACATTGGATCAGTTAGTCGGTTTGTCTGATGATCTTGGAAAATTGGATTCATTTGTTGATTCCATTACAAGAAAAGTTGCTGCTTATTTGGGCGAAGTTCTCGAAGATCAAAGAGATAAACTTCATGAAAATTTGATGGCCAACAACAGTGAGTTGATATTTTATTAATATTTTTACTTTTTTAATTTTAATACATCATATCAACAATAAAATGGTAAAAAATTAAAGCCCCATAACCTATTAAATCATGATAAAGATTTTCTACCTTCAGATTCATATCATATATTAAACACATCTATTGAAAAAACTGGAAAAATTAACCAGTCTGGCAACTCAAGCCATTTTAAAGGAAGAATTATAAGTAAGATTTAAAAAAAAAAAAAAGTCAGTGTTAACCAAAAATTTAAAAAAAAATCACATATGTAGAAAAGAGGACCATAAATTTATTGTTTACAATCTTTTCATTCAAAATTTCACTGTACCTATTTAGTTTTAGAGTGTGAAATGAATTTCATCAAAATTATTCACTTTTCTTTGCTTTCATACATGTTTATTATTAGAAAATTCTAAATCAAGACAATTTTAAAAAGTTTATAAAAAAAAAAATTTATATTTCATACAATTGCACTCTGTTGCTTCTTTTTTCAGCATGAAAAATGTCAATTAAAAAAAAATAAAAAAATTAGGATGAACTTCGATGAATTATTACTTATTACATTAATGATAATAATTTTAATGTTGAGGACAATGAATTTTCTAAAATTTTAATATTGTAAATGAATGAAAATATTTAGCATTTATTTCAGGTCTCAACCTGATCCCTCAAAATATAATGGATTCTTAAATCTCTGTTCCAAATATTTTCCAAAAGATGGAATGCCTCCCATTTTGTATAGATTTTTCTTTTAGGTTTTTTTTTTTAAAATATACTTTTGAAATTCTCTATTAGGAATTATGATATTGTTCCCTATGTTCACCATGGGTAGAATTTTTATTTTTCCATTTCAAATATCGGCCATTTTGATTTATTAATCCCTGAATTTTTGGCGGTATTTTTTAGGTGCTACTTATATAATTCAGTTGACGCCATTTTTCGAAGGAAGGCCTTTTTTAAGGAATATTATGGTTTGGCACTTGGAAACCTAGCACGGACCCATTTTCTTAAGATTGTACCTTTCTTTCAGTTTGAATTAATTACAAAATTTTTGGGGCCAAACTGACAAAATAATTTAAATTATTAGGCAATTATGAACGTTTTGTGCAGTCATAAAAGTTTTTTTTTTTTTTTTTAATCATACCATCATACTTTTTAAATGCTTTAAAAGCTACATTACATTCTTATTCACATGCACTATTCATATTATTCCCAATCGTTTTCTGTGTGTGCTATATTTCTATAGATATACAAACATGGCTATTTATTATTACGATCTACAATGTTTTCAATTTTTTTTTTTTTTGTATTTAGGTGATTTGCCAAGTTATTATAACGCGTTTTCAATGGGACATGGCCAAGTATCCGATCAAACAATCATTGAGAAACATTGCGGATATAATAAGTAAACAAATAGGGCAAATTGATTCCGATCTCAAAACAAAATCAAATGCATACAATCAGTTAAAAAGCCATCTTCAAAATATGGAAAAAAAACAAACGTGAGTTTGATTGAAACGATTGATTAAAATTTTCAGAAAAAAAAAAAAAAAAAAACATTAATTATTATTATTATTATTGTTTATTTAAATAGAGGAAGTTTACTTACCCGAAATCTGGCGGATTTGGTGAAAAAAGAACATTTCATTTTAGATTCCGAATATTTAACAACATTATTGGTTATAGTTCCCAGGTGAGTACCTAGACAAAAAAAAGAAGAAATTCAATTAGGAAAATATTTAAGTAAAATTTTCTTTTTTTAGAAATAATTTTCCAGATTGGCAAGGTCATTATGAAAAACTTACCGATATGATCGTTCCACGTTCCAGTCAACTTATAACTCAGGATAACGATTATGGTCTTTTCACGGTGACACTTTTTAAAAAGGTCGTCGAAGAATTCAAATTACACGCAAGAGAAAAAAAGTTAGAATTTTTTTTTATAAATAAATAAATAAATATTAAATATTTTAAATTTACGTTTCGGTAATTAAAAATGTTTTAAAAAAAAAAAAAAAATTCCAATTCCAGGTTCGTCGTTAGAGAATTCACGTATAACGAAGAGGAAATGGCTGCCGGGAAAAACGAAATCACCAAACTAGTCTTAGATAAGAAAAAACAATTCGTACGTTACTCCCGGGATTTTTTTTTTAAATTGCAATTAAATTTAAAAATTCGTTTTAATTTCAATTCGATTCCCTATCGATTTCAGGGTCCTCTAGTACGTTGGTTAAAAGTTAATTTTAGCGAATGTTTTTGCGCTTGGATCCACGTGAAAGCTCTCAGAGTTTTCGTCGAGTCCGTTTTAAGGTACGGACTTCCGGTTAATTTTCAAGCCATGCTCCTTCAGCCGAATAAAAAAAATACAAAAAGATTGAGAGAAATATTAAATCAATTATACGGACATTTGGATAGCAGCGCATTGCAAGGCTCCGGTCATCAAGACGTGAGTTCTGTAATTAAAATAAATAAATAAATAAATAAATTAATTAATTAATAAATACATAAAAATTTGGGTTTTTTTTATATTTTTAATTTCAGAGCGTCGACATTCCAGGTCTCGGCTTTGGACAAGCCGATTATTTTCCATATGTATATTATAAAATAAATATAGACATGGTAGATTCAAAAGCTTAAAAAATGGATATTATAATTTTATATATTTATATATATATATATTGATTTTATATCTTGTATTTTTTCCTGATAATAAGTAGAGAATTTTAAAAATAGGAATATAAACTAAACCTTTAATTTGTTAATAAGAAAAAAAAACAAATATGGAGATTTGTTATTAAAATTTTATACAAATAACATTTGTTTATACAATATATTTGATGAAATATTGTTGTTATTCCAATTTATTATTCCTCAAAATTATTATTTATTTATTTAGTTGAATATATATATAAATATATTGTAAAATAAAATTATTATTATTATTAGTTAAACGTTGAACGGTTGATAATATTTAAATTTTTTTTTTTTTTTGCTTATTATTATATATAAGTAATAAAATATATATATATATAGAAAAAGATAAAAATTTATTAAATGTTAATAATATTAAGATCGTTGTTTATTATATATGTAAAAAAAAAAAAAAAATTGCTTTAAAAATAAAAATAAAAGGAAATCAGTATTTTAGAATTTTATTTAAAATGTCTTCATGTGTTAAATGAAAAAAAAAAAAAATATAGAAAAATAATATTTAAAAAAAATTTGATTTTGTTTACTATTATTATTATTATTATTAATAAATTTTTAAGGGTTACCCAAAAAGAAAGTTTAGTCATAATAATACTTTAAATTAAAAATTTTAATTAGAAAAAAAATTTAAATTTAATAAATTGTAAATAAAAAATTTTTATTTTTGGTGATGGTAATTGAAAAAAAATAAATTTTTTGGATTTCAATTAATGTTTATTATTTTTATTTAAAAAAAAAAAAAAGATTTATTATTTTATTTTTTGACCAAAATTTAAATTGATAAAAAAAAAAAAAAAAAAATTGATTTATCAATAGAAAAACATTCGTGTGTCATTTTTTTTTTTGACAAGTAATGATTTTTTTTTTTTTTAAATATATCAATATTATGATAAGAATTCGTTTTTTTTTTCTTTTAAAAATTTCTCTATATAAAAAAATGTATTTTTGTGTGTTATTAAGAGTCAAGAATTTTTTTTATGTATTCAAATAATAATAATAATAATGAATCACAGGAAAACTTAAATAGGTGTATAAATTTTTTTATTGGCTAGAAAATGTTCAAACATTGGTAAGTGGTAACACTCAAGTTTGAAAATAATTAATTATAATAAAAAATTGGATTTAAAATCATTTTAAATGTTTAACTTTTTCTTTTCGCTCAATTTTTTATATCTTTTTTTATTAATACATTCCGTACAGGTTTTTTTGTCAACAACAACAACAACCCTCCTATTTTTCAAGATGACAAAAAATAACTTTTAAAATGATTAACCCATGCTGTTTTTTGCAAATAATTTGATGTGTTTTGTTTTATTGAAAAATTTTTAAAAAATCCTTCTTGACATGGTTCATCTCCGCCAGAATTTCTTTTATCCGGATTTACGGTATATCTCTTGGACGCCGAACGAAGTCGAGTTAAAAAATCAGGCATTGCAGAGGTAGCAACCCAAGTTTGAATGGGACCAGGTATTGTTAATCCCGGATTATCAAAATACGTCATACAAAATTTGACTCCTGGTTTGTCGAACGTTGTTACCGGTCTTATAACCATAGTGCATTTATAGTCTTTCACGCGAAATTTTTGTGAACTTTCCGGAGCACTAGGATGTTCCGTTATGTGATTCGTTATGACCATGACTTTTTCAACCGGATCTATTATGTATCGTCTATTAAAAACATAATCTCTATTTGCAAAAAACTTTGGCCACTGCATTTCCCAATAGAGAACATTACTATTTGAATAAGGATCCGAATCTACTAGCTTTATTTCTACTGCTGTTAGATCCCAAGTCTTTCGATATTCTATATCTAATTGAACTTGCAAGAACATATCCGCTCTTATTTCTTCATAAAAACCATATACCTTGTATTCATACATTCCAGGATTGTGATCTTGTTCTTTTCGCCATACCAACAAGTCTTGTCGTTCCAAAAATGGCACCCACGGACACGTTCCGACTTTTTTATTATAAACGGGTTTAGTTCCATTGCAACTACAATAATCTACATTAGGGCTAGGGCTATCGATTACCAATCGTTTATGACAAACACTACAAGTGATGGTAAGATTTGTTAAATATTTTATATATTCTAGGTCTAGGTAATGAGACCTCATATATTTTTCATCTATTCTATTTTTATTCCAGTCAAACAATAACATGCTTCCAGCTAATGTTAATAATTTTTTCCTTTCAATAAACTGCTTTTGTAATTTTTCCTTTAAATGATCAAACATTTGCTTGAAATACATGTCTCCCCATAGTTTTTTGTATAAACTTAAAACTTGTTGTCCTCTCCTTAATTTATAAGCTACTAAATATTCACAATTTCTAAGGCAGTTTTCTCGAATTTCACCTGAATTAGCTTTTAAAAACTGATGAAGTTTAGGTAATCTTAGGCGTGACATATTAAATGAATCAATATTCTGAAACAAAAAAAAAAAAAAATATATTAATATAAAAATGTAATCTCAAAAATTATATATATATATATATATATTCTTATTTGATTAAATAAATTTATTTATAATAATGTTAATAAGAAAAACTTACCCTCACAATAATCCTAAAAAGGGTCATACTGTATCAATTTTGTGGCTTCATTAAACATTATTAATGAGACTGAAGTGTTACTTTTATTGTAGTTCCTGCTTCCGACACATCTTTACTGAAAAAATAATAAATAATGTTAAACAATAGTTAAATTTCACTTAAAATGTAAAAAATTTAGAATTATTATTATTATTATCAACCAAAAGTAATTAAATTTGATAAAAGTTAAGTTTTATCTTTTAAAAAAATTTTTAAATAAATTAATCGAACCATTAAAAAAAAAAGCAATTATACTATACAAGCATTTGAATTAAGTGAAACTCGAAATATATAAATTAAAAGTGAGAATAATTCTTTAGTTACACTTTTATAAAATTTGTATTTATCAGATTTAAATTTCAAAAATACCTTCGATAAGTTAAATTCTTTAAATTTTAAATGAAAAATAATACAAAGCATGGGGTAATACAAAACAAAGTAGAATGAATTCAAATATTTGAACATTTATTTTATTCAATAGGATAATTTTTATTTTGTTTATCAGGCTTGCTATTTATTTATTTAAAAAAGTGCAGACTTTAACTATGTAAATTTGATTTTTTTACTTGGTTAAAAAACTCACTAAAGAAAATTAATTTAATGAGTTTTCATTAATTTCTCATGTTGCCTCTACCGCATTATAAACTTAATGATCAAAAAAAAAAAAAAAAAAAACTCATAAAATGAATATTTTTTTTGTAAGAAAATTAATAAAAGTCATTAAAATAAATAGTTATACAGTGCAGGATAAAAAATTTATAAATTTCTAATATTTTAATTCAGATTCAGGGGAATTAATTTAGATTTTTATAATTTTACATAATGATTATAAGCCGGCGAATATAATTAAAAAATACCTCGTATGCATTCCTTTTAAATATTTATATTGAAAATTATTCTTATTTATGCCTTTTTTATGCTTGAACATTATACTTTGCCATTTTTTAATTTTTGTGTTTTCAATATAGAAAAGTTTACATTAAGAAAATTTAATAATAAGTTCTGAAAATCGATAAAAACACCATCGTCTGCATGTAAATTTTAAATTATACTTTTGGCGACAAATTTCCCTTATTAATTATTTTAACGTCTATAAAATTTTTTACTTAAAAGTAATATCACACAAATATTCGTTAAGAATTAAAAATTAATTTAAAAATTATTATTATATAAACATATATTTTAGTGAAACGTGAATTTTTTTTTTTTAAAATTTCAAATTTGATTTGTTTTAACTAAGTGTTAAAAAGTCTCTTCTGGGCCTACAGCAATGTAAGTGTGAAAAAATATTTATTTCTTTCCCTAATTGAAAATCATTTCTACAATTTTCTCCATTTGATATTAATTACTATTGTTAATAAGATGTGTAAAAACGTTAATTGTGAATTAGAGAAATAATTTGGTCAAATTAATCGAAAATAGGTTCAATTATAAGGTTAGGTTTGAAATTAACGGAAAACTTAGAAAATCAATTCATTCGTTACTTTCAAGCTTACTTACATATCAAAAATTTTTTTTTTTATAAAACAAAATACTGTAAAATTTGAATTTACAATAGAAGAACTAGTTAATTGTTTGTTTTAAATTGTTCATATTCATTGGGTTGTTTAAAATCTGAAAAAAAAGTAATTATAAATACATAGTTATACGTATATACATATATATAAAATACAACCGTTCACACTTATACTGATTATATATAATCAAATATGTATGTATGTATTAATGTTTTGGTAACAGAATTATAATAATAAAAAATAACAATAGTAGTAATTTTATTATAATTGAATATAAATCATTATTAAATAAATATGGTGGTGGTACTTGTATTTCATATCAAATAATTTAATTTATTATATATGAGTTAATGTATATTTGATTTAAATTTACATTTTGATAGTGGTAAGAAATGAAAGGTGAAAACAAATTTTTTTTTTATAAAATTCTAAATTTTTATGACTAAATTTTATTGTAATACAATTTTCAAATTTCCACTACCCTTTTATTAATTATTTTTATTTATAAAAAGCAAAAAAAAAGTTTTTTTAATTTTTTTTTTTTATTATTTTAAATTCAGCATATTTATATGTAGTATTTGAATTGTTTATTTAGTTTAGTCAGTATTTTTTATAAATATTTTTCAATAGAAAAAAAATATTCAGTTTTTGTACATGTCACACAAAACTTTTTCCATTGGTGTATTACCTATTGTTCTTTGGAAAAATATATGTTCAACCCTTTGAGTAGGAACATGTTTAAGAAGAGGAATCATTAAAAGCAGACGCCCAAATCTGGCAGGTTGAGTTGGATGCTGACCTCTTGCATGTTGACCCAACATAACTTGGGCTTGATCTTGAAGATTTTCCACTTGAAGTGGATCTTTCAAACCTCGAGTTTCTTAAAAATTAATAGATTTATATTACTTATAAGTTGTAAATTTTCTATATAAAAATAAGAGTGAGAATTATTTGAAAAGAGGCTGCATAAGAAAATGTAAAAGTAATTTTATAACTGATTAATTCATTCAAATTGTCTTACCGGATTTAAAAAGCACAATGGCTTTGAGACAAGCAAACTCTGCAGGATCAACCCCAACTGCTTTATAACGCAAAAGCATATCATTTAAAACTCTTATATCTGCGGCCGTTTGACTAGATTTTCCATTTGGAACAGTTGCAGCATGTTCGTTTACTGAAAACAAAGGGCTTGATTCTACCGGGAGACACCATTGTATGGCATTGAGTAAAAACAATTCTGACCAACATTCTTCAAGAAGAATAACCTGAATTAATTTCAAACTTAAAATTTTTCATCAAAAATCAAAAAGAAAAAAAAAAAAATATAATATAAAATAACAACATACATACCTGATCACGAAAGGGTAAACTTGCAAAAGATGGTAAATTTTTTGCCCATTTTACTGCCATAAAAAGTAATCTAGCAGAAGTTTCATAAATTGTTTCTTGCGTTGTTGTGTATAAAGGTGGAGGAGGTAAATGTGTTGTAGGAGTGGATATAGTACAGGGCAGTGTTCGAGAAGTAGGAGTAGGAGGTAAACTTTCTTCATTTGTCACATCAATGCTGTCTTCTGAAATAATAATTACACTGTGAATAAAATTTTTTTTTATTTATTCAAAAAAAAAAAAAAATTTTAAATGAATACCTTCATCTGCTTCTTGTTTGGAAGAATTCACTTCAGAAGGAGAAGTTAAAGACTGAGGATACCGAACTGGTGAAAATCCGACAGCCAAACTGACAGGAGGTCTATAAAAAAAAAAAAAAAAAAAAAAAAATTCAAATTTTTATTTGATTTAACTACTACAATCAAACCTACAAAAGAAACATTTTCAAATATGATTTTTACGTCAATAATCATTATAAAAAATTTTACACTTGAAATGAATTTGTCAATTTGATAATAATAATAATAATAATAATAAAACGTAACAAGTTCGAAATATAGAACGAGAAACTCAAGTTGAATTAATTTTAGGTCACTTGTTCAGAAAAGAAATTAGTTTACACTGATCGACCACTAATGGAAATATGGTTTGATTTATCACGGTTGATGGATTTATCTTTGGTGCTTTGACTTCCTTTCAATAAAAAAATATGTACACTTGTTTAAATAATCTATTTTAAATTTAAATAAAAAAGAAAAAAAGTTTTAATTTACCCAAATACGCCAACTGCTACTGCAGCTTCCCTTAAAGCTCTTTCTTGGTCCATTTCAACTAAAGCTTCCGGCCTTATAGTAGCAGTATTCCTTGGTTGTCTTTCGTTCTGAACAGCTGAAAAACACCCCCTAATTCATTATTACATTATATTACGTAGTAATTATGATACATGAAATTACATCATTTAATAATTTC